GCTCATTAGAAAGTGAAAGGAAATTTATAGCCTATTGAAAAAATTTGAATAATAAAAAAACACATATTAAGAAATAAAAAATATCAATCTCACTTTAATTGCTTACAAGAAATAAGGAATAAATAATTAAGAACTCAATCAAAATAACATATCTTTTCAATAGAAAAAAGATTAGAAAACTCAAATAACTAATTATCATTTTAACTCAATTCAGAATAAAATCACCAAACCAGACTTACTAGTTATTCATATAAGATGGCCTAATTTCAATTTAATTTTATACCAGTTTTCTTCCATAATCATAAATAATAATAATAGTATAAACAAATCTTTTGGAATAAAATTACTTAGATTAAAATTAACTGAATAATTTTTGAGGCTTAACTGTTTATAAAGGAACAAGCTATATAGCTCCCAATACTTTTCTAAAAATATATTGATAGATGATATGCACCTCTCATTCATAAATAAGCAATTATTCAAATATTAAAAGAAAGATTTTTTCTTACTATTGAGAACATCAAGAATTAATCTGATAAAATTGATCAATGATAGTGATGAGAGTTATGAGATAAATTTTAGGAGCAGGAAATGAGCTATGCATAGGTCGTTATTTAAAGATCATCCTAAAAATATTTTTTCTACCTGAATTCAGATTTTTTAAACACTAATAAAAATTATTTCAATAATAAGTACTCAAATTCATCTTTTTATAATGGATAAATTTTATTGTGATCTTTAAATTTTTAGAAGATAACACTTTATTTATTCAAATTATAATACATTTAAAAACCATCCTTTAAAATCGAATTATTTAATTCTTAATTCTTCAAATATTTATTATCTTATCTCTTTTTTGAGATTATCTTGTAACATTTCTCCAAAGCAAAAGCTAAAAAGTTAGTTAAAACTTTCGCTGTTGATCTAAATTTGGCATATAATATCCTTTTAATTAAGGAATGATACACTGAATTTTGGAACCAATTTTTTGGTTAGCATTATTCAATGAAATAAACTGATCCTAAAAATATTAATAAATATATTTATTAAAACCATCAATTCATATTTAATTTTACCAAGAATATGGTTAAAATTACCATTTTTCATGTGTATTTTCTTTAATTAATTCCTATTATAAAGAAATAATTGAATTTTGACGAAAATTAATAATGAAAGAAACTTTTATATGAATACAACAACATTTCACAAAAATTATTCATGTTGAAAAAATCCATAATATAAAAAATATTGTTAACAAAAATAACATTGGTCTCTCATAATACAAACTAAAATATCAAATTGTAAGTTGCTTAAAATAAAAAATCTCTAATGAATTACAAACTACAACCAAAAATTTAAGATCTTCTAATCATTATAAATATAAAGATATTATTAATTAATTTGATTATGTAGCAGCGTGTCAAAAATTCATTATTATTATATACTTCAAAACTCAAAATAATTGATTTAATAAATCAATTTAAGAATCAGGTCTTATAAGACGAGAATCAAATTTTACCGAGTTAAGCAATCTTAATAAATAAGTAAAAATTTTCTTTTATTAAGTTTGTTTTATGCAAAAATATTTCTAAAAATTACAAAAAAATTTTAATAAATTTTTTACGTCATCTTTGAAGTTTGACCTATGGCTCGACCGAAAAGGAATATAATGTATTTCTGTTCTAGGATCTGTAGAGGATATTTTTCTTTGAGCATATTGACTTCATATTTATATCTTTAGTTTGTGAAGAATTTTACTATGGGGCTATTATAAAATTAGTGTCCAAAAAAATTGTAAGTGTAAAGATTTATAACTTGTGAACTGAGCCAAAACTTCTTCTCTAATGATATGATCATCATCTTTTGAATTCAAAATATTTCTGGTTAACTCTGATTCAGTACTATAAATTTTTTATGAAAGATTATTATTTTTAAGGGGGAATTTATAAATTTACTTTAATAAGTTAAAAAATCTTTTTTTAACCACCTACAACGTTAAATCCTGTATTTTAAATTAAATTTATAAACTTTAATTCTCAAAATAATAAATGAAAAATTGTATATTTATGAATAATTACTTTGTAATACAAGAAAATATTCATCTAGATTAGTGTGCACCCCCTTAATTAATATCATTAATTACATATTTTTATATATTTAATTTATTTTATAGATTTATTCTTCAATTAAAATAATGTTAGTGATGAAATTAATCTCATTTTTATAAAAATGAATAATTATTAATATAAATTTTGAGTAATTTCTTAATTTCATAATGAATAATTTAATTTGTGAAATTGAACTAGATGATATATTCATAAACAAAATACAGTTTTTAAAAGCTAAAAAATGGTGAAGGATATTATTTTTATCAAGATATTAATTAATTTAGTTAAAATCATATTGAAGGTAATAGTGATTATACATAATCTTAGTGATTTGTAAATTTTTCTTTTAGATAGATATTGAAAAGCATTTTGAAAGTTGCTTCTTTGACTGTATATAAGAATTCACACAGAAATTATGTTAAAAAAAATTAAGATTATTAGATGGATGTTAGCGAAGGTAACTATTTCCTTAAATTGTAATCCATTACTGGAAATAATACTTTTGAAGATTAAAATATCTTTTTAATTTTTTTTATATTTAATACTTTTAATTTATTGAAGAATATTAAAAGGTTATGCAATATTATCAAGAATAGAGTAATATAAAAATTCAATCTTCCTTATAGCTTTGTTATAAATTAGGTTATTTCAGAATTAATTTATTTTTTTGAAATTCTTGATGTATCTTTTTTCTTAACTTTGTTATTAATCGTATATCTTTTTCTTCAAATACTAAATTTTTACAAAATTATTAATAACTCTGTTAAGACTAATCCAATTTATTATTAATTTAATGTAGTATCATTTAAATTTAAATCTCTATCAATTTTAATTGATAATAGCATTTATGATATTTCAATAAATAATCTCTATATATAACAAAAATGGAACAAAACTTTGTAAAATAAGACCTTACCTAGCTTTCGAACTGAAGATTAAGAGTGAAACTCATAAAGACAGAATTTAAAATTAATATTTGATATCAATTGTAATTATAATTGTTGTTTGAAAAGCTATCAAATTCATTTTCGCTCTAAGTCTTGTAAAAAGCAACTTTCTTTAGATTTGAATAAAGGTTTTAAATCTTTTCCTTAATGGTTTATAAATTCTCCTTTCAAAATAAGTGTTCCTTATGCTTAGAATATTGCGGATTATGATATGAGGAGTGTAGTGATGTAATTGGAAGCTAAAAATATGATAGGGAATAAATACTACCTTTGGAAAAATGGCGATGTGATTGAAATGGAATCTTAAATTATTCAAGAATATCTTTGTAATTTTTATCAGAAGATTTAATTTCTTATCCTGTCTTTACATCCCATAGACGGATTGAGTTATCAGTACTACAAAAAGCTAATTTATTTCTATCAAGAGCGAAACAGACTAAGTAGACATATTTTCTGTTTATCATAATAAGTATAATACCAACTTATTGAGTTTTGAAGAAAAATTTCTTCAATGCATGCATGATAAATAAAAGTTAATAATTTTTACATTTCTGCACAGTTGTAAGCCTATCGAAAATCAATAACCATAACTACTCTTAATCGTTTTTACTAGACTTTTGTAAGTCATATATGAGTTAAAGTATTTATAGTTGAGTACCAACACTTATAATAACGCCAAACTATTCTGTATTTATGTGAGACATGCTATTCAGATCACCTTATTTTAGTTGGAAAAAACAATGAAAAACAATATATATCTTTTTAATTCTATAATAAAAAAGAATATCAATCATTTTAAAAGTTATCCTTAGAAATACAATAGAAAATTAATTAAAACTCCACTTTTAGAACAGCACAACTTAAAAAAAAATTAGTCAGAGCTATAACCAATCAATAAATATTATTTTATAAAATGCTTAATAATAAATCAAAAGTAATAATTCTGAAAACTCCTGAAAACTCCTTTAAATCGATAAATAGAATCTTAATTATAAACCATGAACTGTTTCATAGATAGTGAATCACTTATCATTAGTAATAAATAAATTCTTTAGGATTATAAGTAAAAAGACTCCACAATCTAATACCTAAATTGAATCCAATATCTTTTGAGAAATTTTAATTTATGAAATATAGAATTTCATTAAGTATCATATAATAAATGCTCTCCGATTGATGGTCATAAAATACTACAGATTTAGCTCTGAACTTTGGTAAAAATCGCCTGATTCCATTAAATAAAGCATACCCAATCATACCACAAAAAGACAAATTTAGACCTTTAATAAAAATTATAATAGACTTACAAATATTAATTTACCCATTTAAAGTCTATTTTAACTCGTAATTTCTTTTTTATCTATAATTCTGTTAATATGTACTATTAGGTAGTATAACATCCTTCATAAAGGGTATTTAATTTGTTGAATAATTNTATACATAATCTTAGTGATTTGTAAATTTTTCTTTTAGATAGATATTGAAAAGCATTTTGAAAGTTGCTTCTTTGACTGTATATAAGAATTCACACAGAAATTATGTTAAAAAAAATTAAGATTATTAGATGGATGTTAGCGAAGGTAACTATTTCCTTAAATTGTAATCCATTACTGGAAATAATACTTTTGAAGATTAAAATATCTTTTTAATTTTTTTTATATTTAATACTTTTAATTTATTGAAGAATATTAAAAGGTTATGCAATATTATCAAGAATAGAGTAATATAAAAATTCAATCTTCCTTATAGCTTTGTTATAAATTAGGTTATTTCAGAATTAATTTATTTTTTTGAAATTCTTGATGTATCTTTTTTCTTAACTTTGTTATTAATCGTATATCTTTTTCTTCAAATACTAAATTTTTACAAAATTATTAATAACTCTGTTAAGACTAATCCAATTTATTATTAATTTAATGTAGTATCATTTAAATTTAAATCTCTATCAATTTTAATCGATAACAGTTTTTATAAAGTCCCAAAAAATATTCCCTAGAAGTGAAGATGAATAGTAAAATCTAATAAAGAAATAATTAATAAAAACGCGAGTTATAAATTTAATTATGATTGTAATATTGAAAAAGAATTACTTTTACTTAAAGTCTTCTTAAAAGCAGCATCCTTTTGATTTTAATAATTATCTTAAATCGTATCCCTAATAGTCGATAAAATCTCCTTTCATGATCAAAGCTCCTTATGCTTAAAATAATGGTGTTTTAGATATTCGTAAAATTGTAATATTTTTGGATTCTAAAAATAATAATCAAATTGATACCTTGTAGAAGATTATTGAAAAAAAGTGGTGTTTTTAATTCAGCTAGAATATCTTTTTATTGTTTGTCAGTCGATGAAATTTAATTTTCTTCCTAAACATCCCATAATCGGATAGACTTATCATTGCTACCAGAAGCTAATGTTTTTCCATCAGGAGAAAAACAGACTGAGTAGACAGTACTAGTATGACCATCCAATTTGGCTTTTTATTATCCTGTTTTGACATCCCAAAGACGGATAGACAAATCATAACTACTAGAAGCTAATATATTTCCATCAGGAGAGAAACAGATTGATGTAACAGCATCATCATGACCATCCAATTAGACTTTTTATAATCCAGTTCCGACATCCCAAAGACGAATAGAGTTATCTATACTACCAGAAACTAATGTATTTCCATCAGGAGAGAAACAAACTGATTACACAGATCCAGTATGACCATTTAATTTGGCTTTTATTTTTCTTGTTTTAGAATCCCATAAGAAGACAAACCAATCAGCACTTCCAGAGGCTAAAGTATTTCCATCAGGAGAGAAACAAACAGAGTTGATACAATAATCATGACCATCCAATTAGGATTATTATCCCGTTTTGACATCCCAAATACGAATAGAGCTATCATCACTCCCCGAAGCTAATTTATTTCCATCAGGAGAGAAACAAACTGATTATACAGCTCCAGTATGACCATTAAATTTGTGCAATTCATGGATTCTTAAGTCTTTCCATATACAATCAAATAATTATGCTCCATTCAGATTTATTCCACTTATGTTGATATTATTAAATTAGGATCCACTAAAATTGCACCTTACAAAATTACCTCCCACCAAAGAAGTATTTTAGATTTTTATGTTATTAAAATTGATTTCACTAAGGTCTACCTTCATCTAAACTAATAAATGTAATGAATTAGATCCACCCTATATTATTGATTCATCAATAGATGTGAGGTGAACTAAAAATTACAAAAGATCAATGATTTTACTATTATCCTTGATAGTATTAATTAGACTTAATGTTGATTCTTCATTTTCTTCAGAGGAAAAGTCTTTGTAATTGAACTCATGATCTTTTAATTTTCTTAAAACATTTGAAATTTACTCCAAGTCTTTTCTTCCAACAGACCATTTCTATTGCTTATCACGTAGTTTTAATTTCTCTCCTTGTTGCTAAATTGATGATTCTAATAATCTTTAATTCCCAAAGTCTGATAGAAATCCAATTAAGTCTTACACTTTTTCTTTTCTTAATATTTCTAAAATGACCCCAAATATTTATTAGTCTACATCTTTTATTTAATCAAATATGTCAGTTAGGGATTCTTTCGCTTAAAAACAGCCCTGCATTTTCTTTTTTATTTTTAATAATGAATTTCTATTACTCTAACTTCAAGTTATATAATGTAAAATCAACAGTATCTTGTGCATTTTTGGAAAATATGCGTTAAGACTTTGTGGAGATTTCAAATTGATAATCATAGAGGTATATTAAGTTATTAAGAAATCATTTTGATCTATGCATTACTTTCTTCTTAAATAATATGGAATAATTAATTTTAATATGAATAATTTAATTTACACTTAATTTGAGTAATATAATTGAATAATTCATTTTTCTTTTTTTCTTTGTTTAAAGCATAAATAATTGGAATTTTTGAGCGCTTTTTAGCTATTAGAATATGTCTTATTATTGGAATATGATTTTTTTGATTTATAGTTAACCCCCCTTTGAAAATACATTAGCCATTAATTGAAGAAACACTTTTTGAAAGGTCATTTTTCTTTCCACAATAAGATATCAAGATATTTACCATTTATCTTATAATAGTACTCTCTTAATAAAGGTGTTTGATATCTTATGAAAAGATTATAAAAATAATTTTATGTAAATTTGTATGATACTTGATAAAATTAATAACAACATTTTTCTATGTATATAGTATTTTTTTAGAATGGTAATACCTAGTTTCGCTCGGTGCTTATGCCCTAAGGAATTTTGTATCAATCCCCTATTTGAAAAAATGAACTTTTACTTTTTTAAGGGGTCACTTTTGTCTCCACATTATCTGTGACCAAAAGTAATGTGAACATAAGGTGTTGACCAAAATGCTTAGCTCTGTACTGAATACTATCAAGTTTTCCTGTTTATTTATTAATATCAATTTCCTCCCAACAATATTATTAATAATTTATTTGCGCTTATATATATGGCCAATCTCATCCCAAGTCCAAATAATTAATGATTTATCTAAAGACTCAGATATAACTTAATTTATCCTAAATTAAACACTAAATCTCTAAATTTTATAAATTACAATAAAATACTATATAAATAAATTAACACTTTAAAAATATAATAATAAACTCACATCTTTTGAATGATTATTCATTACCTATTATTAAGTAAATGCTAATTCCTCTAATTTGAAGACTTTAATCTAATTATTTAATGCCACTATTAATATTTTCAATAGAACCTAAAATGATATTGCCTAAAAATTTTCATTTTACAAACACGCAATTTATCTGAATACTAAATATTCTATAAAAAGAGGCTGATATTTTCCAATCAAAATTTATTTATTTTTATTATCCCAACCAGTAAATATTCTCCTATTATTTATTTATCCTATTAATTACGTTGAAAATTGGATTAATTGAATTATTTTTTGTTATCTTTTAAAGCTAAATATTTATTGCCAAAATGGCTTATAAATCATCATTAGATCCATACATCTAAATGGCTCTCTTATAATTAAATTAATTATTTTATTTTTATTTTTATTTCAATAGAACCCATTTCTTTATGTTAAATTTTATAGCAAATGTATTCTCTCAGGTAAAAATTATACCACTAAATGAATTATAAATTCCCAAATTTATTCCTCTCCTTTAATATTTTTTCTAATATTACAATTTTCATATCATCTGCCTGCACTAATATTTTATTTTCTTATTGATTCAAATTTATTTTCTAACAAGATTAGACAATTTAAATTTATTGAATTGTATACAAATAGATTATTGTTTTCTTTATAAATGTAATTTACCATAAAAAAATCCTACTATCATCAAATCTTCTGATGAATTAAATAACATAACACTAATATTTTAATAAATTTGAACATGCATAACACATTATTTTACACTCAATATTGTAATTTGTTCATGTAATTTAAAGATGAAAATATTTGTGATTATTTAAAAAAATACAACCATATAATGTTGTCTAAATCATTAAATTTCTTATGAACTTATGTACTCCTTTTTTTAATTAATAAAATTGCGATAATTCTAAATAAAGTGATACTACTAAAATAGATTATTTAAGATTAATGTTAACCAATTCCACATGGATATGGATAAATAATTAAATTTAATTATTGAACATATAATAAGTCGTTGTTTTATATATTTGTACTTTATTGATTTAAAACTTTATATTTTCATTTAATAAGAATAATTTATAGATTAACTATTTTGAATGTTTGTGATAAAGCTATTTTACTTTCCATTTATTTTAATTGATACAAAATTTAAAAGAGATTAGATTTTATACAATTAATATATTGTCTCTGTAACCTAATTTTATAGTACGAAAATCATCAAAATAGTAAATCTTGTTGATATTTGAGTAAATATTTTTTTATTC